CTAGGCTTACCGCACCGTGACGCTGGAAGATGGCAGGGGGGAGGTGATGTATTACGTCAGCTAGTTGTTACATTATTACTATATTTGGGCAAAAATATCCGCTCCCAGACTCAGTGATCGCAAAGAAAATTATTATTATTTTTTAATTAATTTTAGGTATAGATAATGATGCATTTAATATTTCTTGCTGAACAGACTTTTCATTAAATGCAGCAGACATTGTTAAGTTTTACATTATTCTTTAGGACCACAGTACTATTATAATATATTTATAGACATCACTTATCTCTTAGTAAACACTTGATCAAGCTCTACAGTTGGGGAGGACATTAAAACTATTAACATTTTTCCACTGGTGGATGTCAGGTTTTATGTTGACCTAAAAAAGATGAAACAGGAACAAAAACAAAGAAACAGAGTACGTAGTATAAAAATCGTAATCATTAAAACTTAAAAGAGCTGCCAAATAGTTAGTTTTAAGTTAGGGACCATAAGCTCAATAGAATAAAATAGAATACAACAGAAGAGTATAGAAAGTCCTGATTGTGTAAATAAAGGTGTTTTAGAGGTAACGCCAAATTACAGATGAAAAAATATAGGTGAAAGCAAGGCTGAGAAATGTAGAGGTATCCTACTGCAGGAGCTGTGCACTGCAAGTTTGATAATTGTCATTTTTGAATATTTTTTGTTAGGGTATTTCATTTTAAGACAATTCAAAGTTTTTATTTCCACTCTAAATTAAAATATTTTTTCTATAATATATAACTCCTGACTGCTGCTTGTAGAAATGATTGGTTATTGTTCTTTTTTTTACTTGACATTGTTGTCAATAAAGATCTGTCAACCACAAAAAAAAAAGTCCACAGTACAAAATCTTCTGAGGTAACCAAAGGTCTGCTGATTTAATACTTAACCCTAATTCAATACCTTCAGTGGCTAACCCTAATCCTAACATTGGTCCTGAAAAAAACCTAAAATTATGGTCAGTGGATTTAATGTGATGTCATTAAATTCTTATTATGACTGACTTTGATTTCAGGACAAACTTCTGGTTTGTACTTTGCTGCTGTAGACCCTAGAAAGTTTACGCTGAGTTGGAGGATCCAGCGCAGGTACCTGATCTGCTTGAGCCCTGCGCCTGCTGGTGGCGTTACACTATATGATTACTTGAATCCTGCCACAGTGACGTAAAATATTATGGATGGTCCATACAACTATTAAAACAATGCATCTGTGTGCTGAGTCTGAAGCACCTCCAGTGTTAGTGTGTCTATAATTGATACATTTTACTCTAAGGGTATCAAAACTGAAAATATTTGTTTTTGCTGAAATAGTAACTGAAAGAATAAGGTATATTGGTCAGACCTTAGTCTAAAGTGCAAACCAATAAAATCTTTGTTAATATGCTCCATTTGTTTTCCCTTATCCTTAGATCTTTATAACTACTACTAGTTATATTGGCTCAGTCTGTCTTACAACCAGTACCTGCCTTCAAGATTGAGAATGAATGTTTTATACTTACAGCTACTTTAACTCAACAAAGTAGCCAAAATGTTAAAATGAATGTAGATCACGATGATAAATAGAGATGACGGAGAAGATTGCATTCTGGTTCAATACAGTTTGTCCCAGTTGCGTTGTTATATTTTAACATCATCGGAAGAGGCAGACCTGAGCACCCAAGCAGATCTGGTACTCACAGCGGATAACGTCAAATCGAGAGCCTAAAGTGCTGGCTTGTCGCAGATATTTTTGATTTATGGCCAATTTTGAAACATGGTCTGCACTATGTTATTCCACACCACAACACAGGAGGGACAATCACGAACTAGCTGTGAATCTAGATACAGCCGAGATGGTGAGGAAGTTGAAAAACGCAAGGGGCAAGTTTGTGCGACAACGGATGGACATGAGAGCGAAAAGGAGCGGGGATCCAGGTGGAAAAAGGGTCCCAGCGTTCTCGCGCACCTCGCTCTTCTAGCTGGCCCATCTTCACGAGTAGCTTTCCACAATGGTGGTCATACAAACAAAGCCAGCCGGTAAGGTACCAAACAGGAAATGTGCATAGTGTAGAGCGGATGTAGATTTGACCAATCAGAGGTCTCCTGTCTGCGGCACTGTCTGCAGACACCTACAATTTTGGAGAGGTGCACCAGAGTGTCTGCGGAAGGGGCGGGTGCACATTTGCGTTCACTGTGACACACACGCAGAGGACCTGGTTTCTGAGTATAAACCAGCCTTCAGGCTACGTTACTGCAGGCCTTAAAGCCCAATTCCGATTTTTTTGTAAAATCCCATTTTTTTGTGTTGTCGTTCACATTTCCAGATATATGCAACGCAAGTGTCCCGCATGTAGAGGATGCAATGACGTCACAAGCTGGCATGCTCTGTGTTGACAGAAGTACACAAGGATTGTAGTGCTGGGGCGATCTTTCCCAACCTTAAAAACACAATCTTTTCAGTATTGTCAAACATAAATACTGCTCTCCGCATCATCGTCCGACGTTGTTGTTGCTTTTCTTGCCGCTTCTGCAAAGCAGGACTCAGAATATAGACCTTTGTTGGGTATTAATGGCATTCAGGTTGGATAAATGTGACCTGCCTAATCAGACACAGGTCGCATTTAAAAAAAATCTGATTTGTATCGGATTCAGGACCACATACCAAGTGACCTGGGTCGCATTAGAACAATTCTGCATATGGACAAAAAAATCCGATTTGGGTCACTTCAGGCTGCTGTGTGCCTTAGTGAAACTAATTAGTCCAAAATCTGTGAGAGAAGAGCTTAAAGAATAGAAAACGCCTTCAAAGGGCCACATCTTCTTCAACACCCCAAACTTGCCCATCTGGACTTTTACTGGATAAGATCAGATGTGGAACCAACTACCAGTTTTAGTCCATGAAGCAGCCACCGTCTACTGTCTACTTTTAAGGGTAGGATTAAAACTTTCCTTTTTGATAAAGCTTATAGTTAGAGTGGCTCAGG